ATAATAATAATAATAATAATAATAATAATAATAATGAAAGAAATAGTAGTAAAGCTCTAAAATATGGCATGAACTGTACAATGCGAATAGGTAGCCAAAACAACAAAATTAGGAAAACATCCATATAAAAATTGAGGAAAAAACACCCCAACAAAAGTGCAGCAGAACAAGCCTTATTGATTGACTGACCAATAAAAGGAATACTTTTATAGCACTACAGACGCCGATAAAAAAATGGGAAAAAACTAAGCAAATAAAAAAAACAACAACAATACACTAAATCAATTAAAGTGATGAAAAAAATAAATAAATAAATGAAAATTTTCTACTCTTCAACACGACAGCTTTTGTAAACGCCCATAAACAATTAGAAAAAACAGTAACACGAAAAAAAAAAAGCTAAGACGATTCCATAACAACAGTAGTTGCTGCACCAACTTTACTCAGTCAGTATCAGTAACATTCAAGCAGATTTACTTAGACGCTCTGAAAAAAATTGGAACACAAAATAAAAAAATTATGCAATCAAAAGAACACTACGCTATGCTCACCTATTACTCTACCATTTACCATAATACCGTTAGAAAGGTGCAACAGGGGTTATTATGTTGGGAACAACAACAAGAAAAAAAGACGGAATAACCGCACCACAACGGCACAAAACAATTACAGTAGCAGTAAGTAAACGCTAACATCAACAGCATCAGCGACAACAAAGAGTAGCTGCAACAGCAAAATCATCACCAACGTCCGCACCAAATCATCATCATCATCATCATCATCATCATCATCATCAGTCTCATCATCATCATCATCATCATCATCATCATCATCATCATCGTCATTGTCATCGTCATCGTCATCATTACCATCATCAACATCATCCACAACAACAACAACGACAACGACAACAAAAACAAAACAACAACAACAACGACGCCGCAAGTAGTAGATGAGTAAGATAGTAATGATAATGGCAGCCACACGATGACCGTTTTGGCAACTGAAAGGCATCAAAAACAATAGAATCAACTGCCAAAAGTGTTACAGTAGCAGTGGTTGACCTGGGATTAGTTATATCGGCTAACATCTTGCCTCTGTAAAATAAGTAGCAAAAACAACACCAGGAATATGTTAGCAATAGTAGCATGCAGTAATAGTAGTAGTAATAGGCGTGCATCAACCATAGGGTTTCGACGTTGCGAAATGGCAGTATATACGGCTGCAGCAATTCAACTACCGCTATCACCACATAGGACGCAGAATCGAC